TTTCTGACGGTTAGCTGATAGTGAAAGGTAAACTGACTCAAATTTTCTTGCTGTTACTGAGAGCTTGAGTTTCCATCACAAGTACTGCAGAGGAGTATTTAAGCTGAAGTACTCTTTTGTTCACAGCGATACAATTATGGTATTTAACGTTTCTATTTTGTCATATGTTTGGACAAATGCTATTATTTCTTTTTCGAGTAGGACTTGAAATTAGGGACTGAAGTCACTTACAAGAACTCTTAAAGAGGTCGCACTGGCTAATGTTTCATTGCTGCAAGTCTTTAAAGATAACACAAACAACAAAGAGAGTATTCAGGATGCCGGGAAGGAACACTGCAAAATTAATTTTAAAAAGTTGCATAAGAAATTTACTATCAAAACCTATTTAGTTTCTACAGAATTTTGTTTCAATGTTTGACCAGTCCCTCTTACCATTTAATACATTTTGTGTAGGCTTTAAAATTTGTGTTGAATTCTGTGTGGGGTGTTCATCTTTGTAGTATTAGTATCAGTGATACCGTGATGAGGCAGAGTCCCAGGCATACAAATAGGAAGTCTTAATCCAAAAACAAAATTGTGGAATATGTTTTTTTGAGATAGAGGCATATGGCATATTAGCAAAGTTTTTCTGTTAGTTCTTTATTTTTCTCTGTAGCTGTGGTGCCTGTATGGGTGTGGAGTTTTTGCAAAAGCTGTGTTCTGTAGTGTGGCATCACAGCAGAAGGATGTTGCAGCTGCTGCGTTAGTTTGTAAGGGCACATACACAAGACTTCTTGAAGTATGCTTAGCAGTTTGTCAAAGTTCACCAAAACATACTTGAATGTCGATGATCTGTGTGACTTCACTGGGGGAGGGGAGCAGAGAGGAAGGATAGACATTACACGTGTTTTTCTTGTTGCAGGATGTCTATATAACTTAATTTTACATTTTTCTTGCGTCTTCCTGCAAGCCGGTGTTTCACAGTCCTAGAGTCAATATAGCCCCAGTTGACCTTGCTGAAGAGCTGTTTAATTACTGGTGAAGTTAGTGTTTTCTTTGTAAATGTCAACCTGGAAAGTGTAACTTTGACGAGCTCATAACCTAAGGGATACTTTATAGCAAGCATTTTACAGAGATTTAGGTTAGTTACACTGGTACTAAACTTGCGGGAGCAAGGAGTCAAGAGCAGAAAAAACAAAAGGCAACTTACATGCTGCTCCCTTTTACACACCACAGGCAAGAAAAGTGTGAGAATTCATATTTTTCATGAAGTGTGGAGCAAAAAAAGAAAAAAGCCAAGAACAAGTCTGAGGATCTCATCGAAGACTGGAGGAGGGGGAACAAGTATTCGCTGAAGTGGTAGTTAGTAATTGGCTTGAAAGGATGATGAGCCAATATGTCCTGTTGTCCTGTTTACACGCTGCCCAAAGAGGTTGTGGAGTCTCCATCCTTGGAGATACTCAGAAGCCATCTGGACACAGTCCTGGGCAACCTTCTTTAGGTGGCCCTGCTTGAGCAGAGGGGTAGGACCAGATGACCTCCAGAGGTGCCTTGAGCCTCAACCTTTCTGGGATTCTCTTAGCTAAGAGGGTGGAGGGGTGGGGAGCTGTATTTCACAATTAACTCTGCTTAAATAATGCACCTAATAGCGGAACTTGTGCCTGTTTGACTGTGACCCATCAAAACTTTTTCATAAGGTCCCTCTGGAACTGTCCAAGCCTCTGTACCACTCTCTTTGGCATGATATTACTGCATGTAGGTTGATTTTTGGAATGGAAGAAAGAAAAGGAGGTTAAGGGATGTGTGTGTATCTTGAAACCTGATGTCTGTACGTGGAGCCTCTGGGGCGGTTGGTGATGGTTTGCAGGGACTTACTGCTTCAGTGGCAAAGGCTGTGAGAAACTGATGGAAGTATGTTGGCATTTGGTGAAAAAGCATTCCTTCTTCTTAGCCTGCTTCCATTTAGAGACTTGGTGTGTTAAAAATGTTGACTGTTTTCTCAGTACTACCTTGCTATGTAAGTAATTCTTGTGGAAACCACTTCTTTGTTGTGTGACCGTGGACTTTGGAGCAAGAACAGGATGGAAGCAGTAGGAGTTTGTAATCCTGTTGCCCTCTTAAGAGTTTCTGCTTTTGTACCTTGTCATACATTGTTGTAAGTCCAGCATTCCATAAACTTTAATTTTGTATATTTTTGGGATTAGCTGTTTTTGAATACAAAATTATTTAATCACTTAATCGTGCATCAGGTTGAGAAAGCTGTATATAGTATTGCTTTAGCCATTCAATAGGAATTTGCTAACAGTGGGTTTTTTTGGGTTTTTTGTTGGATGCTTTACAAAGTCATGTCAAGAACCTGTCTGTATCCGTAGCAGCACTGAGGACTTCCTAGCTGTGCCTAGGTATTATGGGAGTTATCATAAAAAAAATTAAGAAATCTAATGCCTGGGATTTCTGCCATAGCTTTGGTTCTTGTGTTTTTAGTCTGCTAGAGAGTGTGTGGAAGAGCAGTGAATAAGATCAGAATTAGACGCATATTATCTGCCTAATATGGTTCTTGTTAACGCAAATAATATGAAAACTGTTTGGAGAACAAACGGATTATAGAAAAAGGAATGAAAACATCCGGATCCCGAGCGTTTGGAAAGCATGACACTGATGTATTTGTGTAACCTTTTCATGAAGAGTGATGCTGAAGTCAAAGAGAGGATTTTGATTTCCTTCATTAAAAGCTTATTATATGAAGAAATAGGACGGTCGTTGCTTTGCTTCACTAGTTGGGGGTCACAGAGGCGGGCCTGATCTCCTCGGGATATTAATGCCTGCTTTCAGCTGGGGCAAATGAGCCGTCGCTTGAGTTAGCTGCAGCTTTATGTGCTCGTCACTAGGGATCCCCATGTGTCCTGGGATCTGCAGCAGTTGGAAATGGCAGAGCTCGGCAGCAGGGAGCAGAGGGCTCTCATTGCTATTCATAACAGGTAGCTTGGCTCAATCTGCCCAGAGCAAGTCTGTTTAATGTTGATCAGCTGTCCATCTGATAAGCTGAATTGATATGGACATTTCCTCCAAGGGCTGCCCTGGCAATGACAGCAGGAGCATCGGGATGTCTTGTTAGTCTTTTTCTCTGAGCCTGAAATTTTATTAACCCTTTGTTAGAGCTGAGCCAAGCGTTTTTACACTAGTGCGGCCGTAGGTTGTGTGAGTTTCTCCCTCGCCTCTTTGGAAAACACTGGATTTTGTTGTCTATGTGAAGAAAGTCTTTTTCTCTGAGCCTGAAATTTTATTAACCCTTTGTTAGAGCTGAGCCAAGCGTTTTTACACTAGTGCGGCCGTAGGTTGTGTGAGTTTCTCCCTCGCCTCTTTGGAAAACAGCATCAACCTTCGATTTTGTTGTCTGTGTGAAGAATGGCTAGCTGTTTTGTTTTCAGATTGTTTTTCTCTGCATGGAGCAAAATTGTGAATTCTAAAGGCAGCTTTTAAAAGAGCTTAGGTTTTTTTGCATGTGACAAAATCTGTTGGGAACCTGTTTTTCCTCTGCCCCCAGCTCACCTACTTTTTCATGGCTGCCCAGGCTGTGTGACTCTCCTCGCTCTTGTCTCTTGCTAATTGACATGGATCACTGGCCTGAAACTGTTGCTGCTGGGGCTCTTCACAGGTCAGATATGTTTGAGGCAGAAGGTTATGTTAGATTAATATGGTATGGGGCAGCTGGAACACATCTGTGCTATCCAGAGGAAACAGTATCAATTTACTCAGTACTGTGGTGGTACTGAGGCAGAACCTAACCTGAGCATGTATCAGCAGATATATGTGTATGGAGCAGTTTGGTTACTCAATGAATCAGTGCTTGGCCACTTCTGAATAAGCACAGGGAGCATGACATGCCTTTGTACTAGGTTGCAATTTAATTTGAACCTGAAGGCTTTTTAGTCGTCTGTCTAGTTGAGGGCATGCATTGTGTTTTTGCTCATATGTGAAGTCTCCATGACATAAAGGGAATTGCTTGAGTCAGAAAAGATGTGCATGTGCTGAAGATTTCATAAAGGGGGGGGCCTGTGTGTATCTAGTCTTGTAGCATTAAGAGGATGTTCCAGAATGTTGCTTCCCTGCTCGCCTTGTCCCTGCTCAGTTATTATGTCTGTTCATCGCCCTGATGTAGTTCTGAGCTGAGGTGACATCTCTGGGCTTCTTGGAGTGACAGCCACTAACTATTGGGAGCTGCAGGGTTGAATTGTGGGAGGAGGGGAGGAAAGGGCTGTGCTACATTACTCTTTTCATGCCTTTTCCAAAAAATGAAAATAAATAGAGGACAAGCCTCTCACAGGGATTTGAAACACCTAAATTCAGAATGTAGCACACTCTGTGTTGGTATAAGAAGTGATTTGTGAACCTGTCCAAATGAAGTTGGGTCGGCTCCTTTTCTGGACAATCACCTTTGCTTCTTCTAAAACAACCAGGGACATATTGTTAGTGCACAGTTTTAAAATGTTCAGCTGTTTCTCCAGTCTCTCCTTCACCCTCCCCCTTTGGTATTATTGAACTGCAAGGTATCCTGTTATTAATTTAACTCTAGTTTGAGCAGACATTGACTGCAGCATTCTTACAGTGTTCAGATCAGCTTACTCGTGACTCCCCTGCCGATACGTCCTTTGTTCCTTCCCATCAGGACTTTCTGCTTGGCATTTTCTTCATGTCAGTGTCCCTCAAGCTTCTAGAAGACAAAACAGAAAAAGAAAGCACCATGAGGACTGTATTGATTACTTAGCTTTATTTTGCCAAAGAATTCAAACAAAAGGCAGAGTTCCTTCCAATGGAACCTGTGGTACCTGCGGCTTACCTGGAAATACTTGGTGATAGTTTTCTGTGCTTAACACCTCTTGGTTGTGGCTTCTAGAAGTACACAGAAGAGCTACATGATAATTCATAAAATAACTGTTTAGCACAAGCAGTTGGGTCTTTTTTTCCCCCCTAATAATTATATTTTATTCATAGCATCAAAATAATGGTACTTTTTCTTTGCTTTCAGTCAAAGAAGCCTGGCTGAGATTACGGAACTGATCCACACTGCCTTTCTGGTGCATCGTGGCATAGTGAATATTGGTGAGCTCAAGTCCTGCGATGGCCCACTGAAGGATATGCAGTTTGGAAATAAAATGGCTGTTCTGAGTGGAGATTTTCTTCTAGCAAATGCTTGCACAAGCCTTGCACAGTTGCAAAATACCAAGGTAAAAAGAAAAAAAAATTCTTCTGCTAGCAGAGCAAGTAACTATTAGTGAATCTTCCAAAAGAGAGGCCCTTTAAAAAATCAGTGGTTATGATATGTATGTATATATGGAGCATCCTTTAAAAATCAGTGTATAGACATTACAGCTGTAGGTGGATTGACAGGCTGCTGCTGTGAACATGTTTACCACTGTCCTTTAGAATTACTGTGGTGAGGCCTGTAGCATACCTTCTGAAGCACTGTAGTACGGGACGAGTGGTTAATGTGGTGAATTTAACATATGTGCAGTGGCATCCTCACGACATGTCAGACTACACACCTCTGGCAGACCGACAGCTGAAAACATGTTTGGTTTGTTATTTTGTTTTGCCTTGTGCTTTGTGAAAGGTTTGTCTGTCTTAGGGAATTCTTGGGGGGGAGAGGCTTAATTTCTTTCTCTACACAGTGCTCAGGTGACTTTTTAGTCTTAGTAAAATTACTTTGTTACATGTTTGGATGCCCCTGAGTATTCGATTGCTCTGTTAACGTGGATGTACTGGCTTCTAAAGGGCAGCTGCAATTCAGCTACTCAGGCAAACTGAAACTTTTCAGGGAAATGTTTTTCATGGCAAATTGCATATATGTATGATCTTAGCAAATGAGACTGATGGAAACCTTAAGAGAGCATCTCTAGTTGATTGTTCTTTTCCCTGAGTAGGATCACTTACACCAAATAATTCTTGATATATTTGTCTAGCATGTTCTTAAAGCCTCCTGCGGTGGAGAGAGATTCCTGGGCATCTCTGTGCCAGTCTAATGTAACACCTAACTACGTGTATAGGTAGAGAGCTTAGTGTGCCATTCCAGTAGAAACAGAAACCAATTCTTTTTTGCAGGGGTACTTTTTATATGTCTGAAAATTGCTGCCATATCGTAATGTAAAAGAAATGTTTGTCATACATGCAATTGTCAATAATCAGCATAGATTTAATCCTGAGTTTAAGGAGTCTATTGTTTTTAGATTCTCATGCTAGAGCTCCTTATGATCATAGTTGTGTATTTCTCTACTGCTTTGATTATAAGTGTGACAGTTTCTCTCAAAAGTGGTGTCATTTTGTACCATAGAGCTGAGATTCAGGAGAACAGACAGAAAATTAGATGCAACCTGCTGGAATAGTGGATTAAGCCATTATGGTGATAACTGGTAACAAGTATTTTCTAAAAAATATTAACTAGTGCAAAATTTTAGTCCTGTCATAACCAAAATGGGGTGCAATTGATTTTACTAATTATTGTTGATTTGTATCCATTCATTTTTTTTAGTACTTAGTAAAATTCTCAAGACAGACCAGATAATTTAACCCTACATCATTTTTTTTGTTTCAACATAAGAGGAAACTGTTACAAAATGTAGCACCTATTACTTTGCATTTACTACATCATTAACTATTGCAGCAGCAATGTATAATCCCTGAAGACTTGCCAGGAAACAAGCCTACAGCGAAATGAAGCACAAGTGCAAAGAAATACTTTTTTTTTTTTTTTTTTTTAAAGCAATCGTTATACTGCATGTCGGATAATTCTGCCAAAACATTTTAGCACTTTTTTTTCGTTTTTCTGACATCTAAATACTTTCATAGCTTCTACATACGATAAGTGGGATGCCATTATGGAAACTGATTGACTTAGTAAATTATTCTTTTTCATACGTCTAACCCTACTAGCAAAGTTAGAAAAATTGTAGTACAAGCTATAGAAATTTCTTGACAGGTGCAATGATTTAAACATACTGTATTTATTCTTTTGTAAATGAGGAATTTTCAAATCTGGCATCTCTTTTTCAGCAGTGTGAAATAACTGTGACTTTTTTCCTTCATAATGTTTTGTTTTCTTTTATGTAAAAAGTAAAAATCACAATACTGCTTTTTTGCTGGCATTTATTTGGTAGATCAGCAAATTGTCTAATGAAATGAGCAGCATTGTATCATACATGGTACTGACCATGGTAGGCTATAACCTCTATAATGTGCGTAGCCCTTGTATAGACTAGAATTTAAACTAGAGGGAGTTTTAGCGTTAACTGAAACCACTTCTACCAAGATAATTCTATTGTGCTGTTAAACTCTTGTCTAAGCTTGTGTGTGATGCATTTATCTCCGTGCTTCTCTTGGGGCTGACAATTAGATGTGAAATTCTGTAGTCGTAATGAAATGCAGAGCCATTTTATAATTGCCAAGGGTAAAATTAACAAAGTCAATTATTTTCCCTTAGGCTTTTCCCTGTAGATATTAAAAAGCTGCAAGGTAATTGCCTTAGGTAACACTTTGATTTTTAAATAACATTAAATATAGGAGTTGTTGTCAGTTCGTAGTAATTTTCCTCTTCTCCCTACTGTTGTGGAATATAACTGTAATGATGATAATAAAATTCAAGGCTCTGTGTTTGTGATTTTGGGGGTTTCTTTTAAACTGGTGCTCCTACTTCTCATTCATTTGCTAAAGTTATGCAAAAGAAGGTTTTAGGGTGTGTTTTGTTTTGTTGTTAATATCTGCAGTACAAGGAGTCAAGATTTCTTGAGAAGTCAGTTAGGAAGCCTCCTGTAAAATAAATTCTGCTGTTGTGCTATTTATAAAGTAATCTAAAATTTTGGTTTTTGAACACACATAATAATTCAGAAGAAAGCATTCTCATTTTCTACTTTGTGAAATTATGAGACATTAATTATGATTAAAAGTTGGTATTTAAGGCTTAAAATGAAGTACTGAAGGGCAGATGCATTTTGTAATCATGGCAAAGTTCTAAATTTATTCAGATAGTAAAAACTTTAAAATGAACAGTAATTTCTTCGAAAAACTTCTACAGCTACAAAGGATTAGATTGATTAGGCCATATGTATTTGCAATTCTTTTTTACATTAATATTAACTTTTTTATTACCTTCTATAAACTATCCTTTTTTTGTCCACTTTGTATTTTGGATGGTGGCTTTTCTTGGCCTGCTGATTGTGGTCATAAATTATGTTTTTGATTAAAGATAACATGGATATAATGTTACTTCAGAACTGCATCCTGTAGTAGATTGGACCTTGCTAACCCGTGGATTTTAGAACAGAATTGAGCCCCAGGTGGAACTGGATTGGGATCTTTTAGTAGTTGGTACGTTAGCAGAGGGTTCGGGAATGGTGAGCCTTTGACAAGGAAGGACATGGTTGGTTTTTGCTACTTAAACAACACCACACTAATGCCTGGTAATGTCCTGATTTCTTATGGGATGACGGAGTTATTTTGCTAGGTTTTCTCATTTTGAGGTTGCAGTGTTTTGATACTAGGATTGTGATATTTGTAAAAGTCATCATTCGCATGTGGATGTGGGAGAAATGGAAAAGTAAATGATGTTTGCCTAACAAAATACGGTACCTCCCAACTATCTTGTGGGATATGTGACCACATGCAGTTTTAAATAAATATGTGAAATAATTTTTAAGAAGTGTAAAAGGATATGTTTAAGGATTGGTTCTTTGTTGCCTTCTGAAGGTAATACGTCTTTAACATGTGTTGTCTCGCTTTGCCTAGCCAAGGATGTGGGGATAAAACAGCAGGTTTTGTTGCATGAAAGTGCTTCTTTCACTCTGGTAGCAAAAAGTATTAGTTTTGTCTTTGATTTCTGCTTAAGTAACTTGTTGTTCCTGTAATATTTTTGGTGTGGTGTTCAGATGCAAACACAGCAAAAGTAATAAGCATTAATTGGCATTTTGTCACCTGTCAGCCAGATACATGATATGGACATTTTAACACAAGTGATGTATGAATATTGACTGTGATATTATAAAATATTGTGCTTTTTCAGGGTATATCACAGATAATTTGGAAGAAACTTGTTGCAGCACTAGAGCTGGAGCTTCCTAGAACATCTGTATTATCAGTTGTCTTATGAAACTGTAGAGAGCGTGCATAAAAGATGTAGTTGTGACCTAGTTTTGATACTCCCACAGTCTGAAGACAGAGATACATAAAACTTCAGAAGGATGAAATGGAGCGTTTTAGTGCAATGCCTACTGTAATGTGCTGATGACTAAAGAAAGTGGTAAAATAATCTGTAAAGTCATTGCTTAAAACTCCATAAACTGATAGGAAGGCATCACTTGGTATTTTTAAAAAAACCCGCAAACAAACCAACTGACCAAAACCAAACCACCAGAAAACAGCATATCCAAAACAAAAACTAAAAACCTCAGAAAAAAAAAAAAGAAAGAAAACTAAAAGCTTTGCCTAAAAACCTGAAATACATGTAATGGCAGCATTCTCTTTAGTTCTTAATGAAATCTTAAGAATGACTCTGGTTTTCCCCACTATAGTTCAGTGAGCTCTTGTTGGAATGATTAATCTGTTCACAAAAGCACTCCAAAATTTACAGCCTGAAAGCTTGGAATTGAGTTTAAGAATCTTGTCTGTCAATGCAGAGCTCTGCCAGAAGACCACATTATAGAGCATTGTTTTATTAAGCATTATTTGCTTATAAATAAACAGTAGCACAGATGTAGTACTTATATAGTGGATGCATTTCCTTATGTTAAGTTTATGTATTCCTAAAGGCATAAACATGTTGTTTACAAAATAGGCCTTGTGTTTGCATAAACATCAACAAGTTATTCATGTAAGTCTTCCTGTTGCAACAGTCGGAATGTACACTGTGCTCCATAGAAGAATTGCTTGTCTTGAGCTATGGATTCTGCTTGTGTGGCATCGGTTGTGGTCCTATGGGGAAGGCTCGGTTTTGAACTTGAGTGACTTGGTTCCTTGCTGACCAGGGGAGGTTATGGAGAGTGTACCCTGTCTGGAATTTTGCCAGTTACTCTCTTGATGTAAATTGGCATTTTTGTGAATTGACAAAGAAGTCAGCTAGCGTCTACAATTTTGATTTTTAAAGGTCGTTTAAGAAAGGTAGTACTTGTCTCAGGCTTTTTATTTTCCTGAATGATGTCAAGAGAATATAAACTTTTAAAATATATTTTCAGTATTAAAC